GACCTCTCGTATCACCCCCACCTGGGTCCCTGTGGCTGACTGTACCTCTGTCTGGCTTCCTGGCTTTTAATCCCCTTTCTCCTGCTCTTCTGACCTGCTGCTTTGGGCATCCCTGAGTTGTCCCTGGGGCTGACTGCTCCTCTGTCCAGGTTCCTGGCTTTTATCCCCTTTCTCCTGCTCTTCCCACCTGCTACTTTGGGCGTCCCTGAGTTGTCTCTCCTCACCTGTAACCTTGGATTTAATATTTACCTCAAACTTTTTTTCAATAACCCAAAAAGGTTAAGGAACAGAGAACACCAGGAGTGAGGAGGGAAGAAGGGAAGGAGGAAGATGGGCAGAAAGGAAAAGGGACGTACCTTCTTTGACACAGGTGTTATTCTCCAACTGATAGCCCTGAGGGCAGTCACACATCAGATCTCCGGATGGTAGGATCTTGCTGGACACACCATCTGGGCACCTACAGCTTCTACTGTGATTGGCTTTGGGTAAACAGAGCAGGCTGCAAGGCTTGGACACACAGGCATTGCTTCCTAGAATGAAGACAAACAAACAGCACAGGTTAATAAAAAACACAAAGCACTGAGAGAAAGAATGAGGTCCAGTGCAACCTCTTCGTTTTATAGAAATGAAAGCAAGCAGCTCAGAAAGGCAAGATTTGGGATCCTACTGTGCTGATAACCTCTGCTCAAAGCCCTGAACAAGAGCCTGACCAACAGATTCACTAATGACTTGCCTTGTGGCCACAGCTAGATCTGAAGGCCCCAGAGTCAAGCAAGGGCAATCAGATGTTCCTCCTGGGAACCAGAACCAGAAAGTAGCCAGGGGAGCTAGAGCTGGGAGAAAGGTCAGCAACATGGTGTCAAAGGTGTTACATGTCAAAGGTGTAGCCGAAACCACCTCAGGTCAAAGGTGTAGAGATACTAACTCTGAGAGTGAAACTAAGATAAGTCTGCAGAAAGAGCCAGGAGACAAAAGCATATTTATGGAGAGAACAAAGGATAAGACCATGGCCCCAGAGGAAGGCACAGAGAGAGATGGTGGCTTTGCCATGCTCAGGTCTAATCCCCACAAGGCTCACCTATATATCCTATCCCTGGGCTCCTTACTACTTCCCTTTATCCTTTTAATCATACTTTTTACTTGCACTAGCTTGAATGGGTTTCTGTTCCTTGTGACCCAAAAGCCCTTAATCAGAACATATAACTGGGTAATACCTTGACCAGGACAAAAATCTGCATCTTCCCTTCTCAATTCCTTTGTTTCTGAGGACACCTGCTGAGCTAAATGAGGAGTCATAGGACAGAACTGTAGAGAGGTTAGTTAATGTTGGTATATCCCACTATTTCCCCAATACAGTCTTTTCTTGGGTCCAGCTAATCAGAGTATGAGATAACGTACATATGACCCATCACTGCACTCTACAGAAAGAGTCATTGTGGGTGAACAATTTCCTCTCCTCTAAAGCTTTCCCGCGTGGAGGGGAAATATACATAAACTATTTTTTAACAACTGGAAACATGACACACGTGGTAGTTAAGTTTGTGTGTCAATTGGCTGGGCCTGGTTGAGTGGCTGGGCAGCTGGATGTAGTATTCCCCATGATGAGACTTGTAATCAACTCCATGGTGGAATCTACTGTGAGCAGCTGAGTAGCTGCCTTTGGGTATGTGGTCTGCTTCCCATATAAAAGAAACAGCTTTGAGAATGGTCTCTAGCTTATGGCACGCTTGGACCCTGCATGTAGCTGTGTCGTTCAGCAGCCTGCCATGCTCTGCTGACCTTGGGACTTACAATGGACTCGAACTAATGGCCTGCCGTGTGGTTTGGTAACATCGGGACTGTGCCATTTTATTTGTCAACCTTGGGCTTGTTAGTCTCAGCAGCCAGTATCTGCCTGAGTGAAGAGATACCTCTAGCTTCACTGGGCCAGGAGCAAGAGGCAGAGCTGAAGCCACCAGAGCACAGCAATACTCTTTTTATAAACAAGATGCTAATAGTTCATTGAGTGGGGAGGATGACATGAAGAGCATCATACTGATTTGAAGAGTATACAAGTGACAGTTAATATCTTCAAAGAAGTTACCACTTAGTCCCATGATGTTTTCACAGGATATATCTAGAATATCTTTAGAATTCTTCTTTGAAAAATTCCTCCAAAACTAGTTTGGGAGTCCAAAAAGCTATTTATCTAGCTTAATTATCTTTTTAGTTACCAAATTCAAATCCACCCTAAATAATGAATACTTTCCCTCATGACAGATACTTAAAAGCATTTACTTACTGTAGGCTTTAAAAGAGAATTTCAAGAGCTCAAAATTATTTTAAGTTATTACAGCACCAACTGGATGCATTAATAAAGGAGTTATTTGCAAAGTAACCCTTTAAAAAAGATCTAGTAATACAATGTAAAAATCAGCCAGGTATAAATTCAAGAAATATATCCATTTCAACAAAACAGCCCAAATTGACAGATGTTACAAAAGAACAAAATTTTGATCAGAAACAAAAACTCATTCAAAATCTAATGCAAAAAACACAACACACTGCCGTGGAGGCAGATCTGACTCATAGCTACCCCTACTTGGGTTTCCGAGTTGGTATTGCTACGGAAGTATATTGCCCAATCTTCCTTCCTAGGAGTAGTTGGGGGGTTTGAACAGCCAGCTTTCTGGTTAGCAGTAAAAATGCCTTAGGCCTATGCCACCTGATTCAAAATCTAGTACTTCTGAATCATTGTGCTATTACTATTGTTGTTAGCTGCTATCAAGGTAAGCCCCCAACTTGGGGCTATACCATGCACAACAGAATGAAATGCTGCCTGGTCTTGCTCCATTCCCATTATCCATCGCAGATCAGACTGCTGTGATTGTAAGTTTTTCACTGGCTGATTTTCAGAAGTATATTGCCAGGCCTTTCTTCCTACTCTATAAGTCTACAAGGTCCACTACAATCTGTTCAACCTCACACAACACAGGTCCAACCAGTGCCTCTACTGACAGATGACTGGTGGCTGAGCATGAGGTGCACTGGCTAGGAAGTGAAACTGAGCCTCCCATTTGGAAGGTAAAAAGTGTACCACTGAGCCACCAATGATGTCATCATATTAGAAGGAGACTCTGATTCTAATACATGATGATTATAGAAGGAGCACAGCTTAATGGTTTTACTAATGTTAAGCTTTAAAGTTAGCTAAGCCAGGATTGAAATTCTCACTACTTTCTAAATGTATGATCTAAACGTTATTGAACCCAACTTTCATTTTCTTTTCTATAAAATGAATAATAATAGTATGCATGGGTTCTGGGAAGACTAAATGACATTATGCATGCCCATAATGCACACTAATACAGTGCTTACAACATAGAAATTCTGTATAAATGTAGCTATTGCCATCATTATTAATATTTTACAGCCAGCTAATAGCAAATCCTGTATGTGTCAGGGGTAGATAACAAAAAAGAATAAAGATTGACTGGCATCAGGTGTTGCCAACATGCATTGTGAAACACCCTCTGATTTGCAAACAAGCAGGAAAGTCAGAGCAAAGAAGTTCAAGGCCAAAAGGCAGGCATGTCCACAAGTGATGTCAGCCGCCAGATGCCAATACAAAAGCTCTGAGTTAACCAGAACAGACCTGTCCAACAGATGACAAACTGACTTTTCTGGCCTTGTGTACAAGGGCAGGAGATCTCAGCTTTGGAATTATCCTGCTCACAACCACAGGAGAATAAGAACCCCAGAGACAAATAGAGGAAGGAACAGAAAGCAATAAGGAACCCTGGACCACAAGGGAGTGCGTCCTAGTTCTGCCCAGTCCTGAGTCTGGGCTTTCTCCACCAGTGCACATCTCCCTTTAGACCAGCCTTTCCTCTACCCAGACTCCACCCCAAGCCCAGAATTCCTCTTATTAGTTTGAAAGAAGGTGACTTTCACACATGAAATGGAAATCACACCAGGAACCACGTACACATCTGCTCAGGTCATGAACTCTCTCTCCAAACCACTGCCCAGGCATGATGTGACTGCACACAGCTGTACTCCAGCTGTTGGGAAAAGGAGCCAGTAAAAGCTGGAGACCAAGAGCCTAGGCATCACCAACTTCATCCTCAGAATGCAAGTGCTTCTGAAGCAGCTGGCTGCTGCATGCTCATAATATGAAGGCTTATAAGCACTTGTATGAATGAAGATCAGATCTTCTGGACTGGGTGGTAACTCAGAAAAACCATCTATCAAGTCAACTCCAACACATAGAGACCCCACGTGTGTCAAAGTAGAACTGTGCTCCATAGGGTTTTTAGTGGCTGATTTTTCAAAAGAGGATCACCAGGCTTTTTTTCTGAGGTGCCTCTGGAGACTCAAACCTCTAATCTTCCAGTTAGCAGCTGAGTCCATAAAGCTTTTGCACCACCCAGAGACTCTGAAAACTTAAGAGAGGTGCTGAAAATTCACCCTACTGGCAGGGTGGATAAGGAGGGGTGGGTGTCCTCTGTCAAACGGAGTTGTTGTTTTTTTTTAAATTTTTATTGTGATTTGAAAGTTTACAGAGCAAATTCATTTTCCATACAGCAGTTCACATACATTTTGGCTTATAACATTGACCACAGTTTCCCACAATGCAACAGCTTTCTTCCCACTTTCTCTCCAAAGTCACCTTTTCCCTGTGTCTTTCCCTCTCACGCACTCCTGCCCCCTGTGCATGCATAGCCCTTCTGTTCTCCCATGATTGATCTCTCCAAGGAGTGCATCTACCTAATGTAAACGTTCAGCTTATATGCCTGTCTTTGAACAAAGAGATTCGAGTCACTGGTGCTAACAAGCATGATGCTTTCATCTCTCACTATTTTAAAACAAACACCTGATCTAAGACAGAATGTAACTTTTCCAGTTAGTCACATAACTGGAACAAAAACCCAGCTCATATACTAGTGAGGGTACCTTGAAGAAGTTAATTAATAACTGAGATTCCATGTCCCAATCTGTAAACCGTGGCTTACAGCCTTCTGCAACAGTCTTGTTACAGTCCTACCTCATGAAGACCTAACAATTATACAGCTTTGCATTGAGAGCATACTCTACCGTTTTCTAAGGGTGTTCTCATGCTATCTTCACCGGTCCCAAAAGAATAACAAGGATATAAAGAGGTGTATTATTTCTCTAGTCAATTTTCTCTTAGAGCAGCACCAGCCAAAAGCCATAAAACATTATCAACATTCTAGTTCAAAACAGGAAACCTAGCCATTTGTCAATAAAGGGAGCCAGCTGACCTAGGATGTGATTTAATCCTGCAGAGATAAAGAGGGCACTTCTTAAAGGGAGAACCCTGATCTCTCTCCTTTAGAATCAATAGTAGGGTTGGGAGATAAATAAAGGCGAAAAACAGCAAGGAAGGCGGCTTCCTACTACAGTCCGGGACTCCGCAAACAAACAGCAGATCAAAGGCTCCCAGCAATTCTTACAGAATCATCCAACAGATCTTTAAGACAGCTACTATCTACACCTACCTGCCACTCTTTCCCAGCCTTTTCATCCCTTCTTCTGTCTATATGTATTAAGCAGCTTGAAAAAAAAGAAAACTGAACTCACTGTCATCAAGTTGATTCCAACTCACGGCGACCTTCATCACATTTCTAAGACTATAAATCTTTACAGAAGCAGATGGCCCCATCTTTCTTACACATAGTGGCTGGTGGATTCAAACCACCTATCTTTTGGTTGGGAGCTCTGGTAGTGTAGTGCCTAAAGCACCTGCCTGCTAACCAGAAGGCTGGCGGTTCAAACCCATCAGCCACTCCTCGGAAGGAAGGTTGGGCAATCTACTTCCATAGTGATACTGCCTCGGAAATCCAAGGAGGGGTCACTGTGAGTCGGGTCTGACTTGATGGCACATAACAACAGCATAACAACATCTTTTGGTTAGCAGCCAAATGCCTTAACCACTACACCACCACAGCTCCTTATTAAGCAGCTACTAAGCGGTAATTAGGAAATCTGGTGGTGCAGTGGTTAAGCAGTTGGTTTGAACCTACCAGCCACTCTGTGGGAGAAAGCTGTGGCAACCTTGTTCTATAAATATTTACAGTGTTGGAAACCCTATGGGGCAGTTCTACTCTGTCATATAAAGTCACTATGAGTCAGAGTTGACTCAACAGCAATGAATTTGGTGTTTTTTGTGGGGAGAAGGGAGTGCTAATTGCTGTTGTTATGACTGTTAGGTGCTGTCAAATTGGCCCTCAACTCATGGCAACCCCATGCACAAGGGAACAAAACTCTGTCCAGCCCTACGCCATCCCCATGATTGGTTGCAGGTCAGATGGCTATGATCCCCAGGATTTTCACTGGCTGATTTTTGGAAGCAGACTGCCAGGCCTTTCTTCCTAGTCCATCTTTGTCTAGAAGTGCTACTGACACCTGTTCAGTATCAGAACAACCCTCAAGTCTCCACTAACAGACAGGCAGTGGCTGTGTATGAGGTATATTGGCCAGGAATCAAATACACATCTCCCATATGGAAGATGAGAATTCTACCACTGAACCACCAAGGCCCTTACTAAGTACTAGGCATGAGTAAAATCTGTTGAACCAAAAGACATGGGGTTTAGAGTTTCATGGTGGGCATAAGTTAATTAAATAACCACATAAATACATGTCAGATTATAACAGAGAAGGGTGCTCAATGAGTACTGGGTCATCGGGGCAACCAGAGAACAAGAACGGCATCCTGTTGGGAAGCAACAGCTGTGTGAGCACCCAGCATAGCCACAGCACCGTGTACTTTAAGTGTGCCAAACGAGGATTAACCACACGCTGGGACTCTCCCAGCTGCAGCAGAAGCCACACCGCCAATCAAGAAGGGACCAAGGGCAGGAGGAGGGTGTAATTACCCACCAAGCACCAACACTCAAGGCAGGCAAAAACATGCTGTCTTCCAGCTGTTTGTGTATCATTAGAAAAGAAATTAAGATGTCATTAGGAAGAAATTAAATAATGTGCATGTTGTCGTGACAACAAAGATGTTGGCTGCCAGATCCTACTCTGAGCAGAGATTGCCCACAGGCAACCCCTTTGCTGAGATCAAGTCTGCAGTGATTAAGGAGGAAACTTGCTCACCAGTGGTCTTTCCTTTGTAGAAAATCTTCATGTCCATCAGCCCAGTGAGTTGGCTTGCCAGAATCTCCATTTGCGACCCACTGTATTTGGAAGCTCGAAATATGCTGAGCTGTGACCAATCATCCCAGTAGATTTCATTCTTTAAAAAAAAAAAAAAAAAAAAGTTTTGCTCTTTAGTCCAGCTCCGTGGTCCTATGTTCTGAACCACCCATAAGGATAAGAGTCCCTGCATGCAGTGGACATAACACTAATAAATGGTTGACTGATTGGCCTGATCAAGATTCCACTTAAATGTGTCAGTGATTCTACTACCCTAATCCCACCAAATAGCAAGACAGAAGGAACTACCCAGAAGAAACTCCATCTAAACATTCAAGTTTAACTCTAACCCTTCAGTTCAAAATCTGCTTCCCAATTTTGGGAAGAGCCATTTTGTCCCCTAGAAGCAAAACAGAAATCAAAGGTGATATAGATGGAGCATATCTTGTGTTGTCAGGAAAACAAGTGAGCAAACTCACAAGAGATGCTGAAATGAAGCCAAGATGAGGTTACCAATACTGAGGGCAAACCAGACTTTCACAAGAAGTAATCCCAACTTCTAACCTTTTGAAGTGTGAAAAGTGGTAGAAGATTGGTCCCTTGGTAACTCGAATTGATATCCCTCCCTAATTAGTTATCTAAATTATTATTTTATTGTTTAGATATTTATTATGATAATGCTGGAACAAATTAAATGAATTATTTTAAAATACATTAATAAATTAACTCAAATTCAGAAATGAGCCAATTTGCCAGACATCAGACAAGCATCTCCGCAAAAACCCAGAAGCAGCAGGCTTTTAATCTCAATATGTTCTTCATTTACTCTGACAGCCTGCCAACAGGGGAATGACTGAGGACTCACCTTAAACACAGCAATGGCGTAAGGGTGCGGGAGGTTGTCCAGGATCACTGAGCGCTGCTGGCCACTGAAGCTGATCCGCTCAATACAGTCCAGGTAGGCATCTGTCCAGTAGATCCACTGGTCATCCACAGAGATGCCATTGGGCCACTTCACGTCCTCTGACACAAGACAACGGACAGCAGAGCCATCCATGTTGCTGCCATAAATCCCAGGCCTCAGGTCCCCCCAGTCCGTCCAGAACATCATCCTGGTCAGCACCGTAAAATAACACACATCCCATCAGAACTGGGGAAATGACAGGACTCAAACACTATCCCAAAGAAGTAAGGAAACCTTCCAGAATAATCAGACCAGTTAACTCAGAATTATCATTCTAATCTGTAATTGTAATATTTAAAACCACTGAATTCCTTGATTCAGAAACTCCTTTCCTGGGATTTATCTTGTGGATATAATCAAATTATGCAATGATAATGTACAAAGATGTTCACCACAGTATAGTTTATGCTCACTCACTGACACCATCCACTTGATTGCAACTCATAGCAACCCACACTGGGTTTCCAAGGCTGTAAATCTTTACAGACTGCTTCATTTTTCTTCTGGTAGGTCCAAACCACCAACCTTTTGGTTAGCAGCCAAATACCTTAACCACCATACCACCAGAGCTCCTTATTGTTTATGCTGGCAAAATATACTAACCTAGATATTAAACTGTAGAAGAAATGATGAATTATCATGGATGCAATAGAATGCTATGAATCCTAAAAATCTACACATGCTCACATGAAACTATCTCCAAGAAAAAAGATACAGAATAATAAATGATTCTATTTGGTACATGTGTATGTTTTAAGGAAATACGCTTGTGCAAGGGTTAAAAAAAAAAAACAAAAAACTGAATGATACCCAAGAAACTAGTAACACTGATTACCCCTAGGAAATGTGAGTACAAATGGTTAAGTGTGACGAAGGAGGAAATGATTATTTTTCATTTCATAAAATTCAGTTCTTTTTTAATATTTTTAATAAAGTACATATCTTATTTATGTACTTACATTTATTATTTTTATTTTTAAACATATTTCTCTCAATCATAGATGCTCTGAGAAAGGATCAGGAGAGGAACGTTAATCTAGAATTTCTCTCTTAGATAGATCTCTGTTAATATGTTAATTAAAAAGCTCCTTTGCTTTGCCCAAGTACACACCAATTGCAATTAAGAAAAAGAAGCGTCAGCATGCTGGGAGGCAAGGGAAAGATGGAATGGATTAAATGTTTAGGCCATGCATGAACCATACATTATCTAAAAAAAATCCAAAACTAAACCCACTGCCACCGATCAATTAGATTCTGACTCATAGTGATTCCCGATGGTAAATCTTTATGGAAGTAGATTGCCCAGTCTTCCTTCTGTGAAGTGGCTGGTGGGTTTGAACCACCAACCCTCTGGTTAGTAGTCAAATGCTTTAGGCACTGCGCCACCAAAGCTCCTTTCACATTATCTAACTGGGACTAATATCTATAGAAACACTTAAAAGCCCCAGAGTTACCTGACCAAGAGGACTAAACTTCAGTTTAAAAAATCTCAGTTAACAGATGATCTCAACCATAATCATGAAAAACAGAGTTTTTGGCCGGCAGTTTGCATTTCCATAACAATCTGGCTGTTGCAGCATTTGACACAATGCTGATTCCTTTCTAGACCACACTCACCCCTCTTGAGGAATGAGGACCAGAGCCCTGGGACGGTCGAGCACAGAAGAATTGACGATCGTGAGTCGGAAGTCGCCATCTGGATTGGCTACCTGGCAAAAGAGGGAAGAAGCTAAGATGGAGCTGAGTCTACACTGCAAAAGTCTCCCACTCGTCTCTGGACTGCACACACATCTCCTTTTAGCCCACCTGGTTCCCCTGCCAGACACATCAGAGAAACCTTCTGATTTCCAGTCAGAACACACTGCTCCCTCCTCTGGCTCATGTGGGGATTTTCACATAATCTGACAGGGAGTCCTGGGAGCACAATGATTTGCACAAAGTGCTCAATTATGTGTCTACTTCTTCAGCCAGCTCATGTTACTCCACGCTAAAAAGCCACCAATGGCTCTACATTTGTCACAGAACGAGTCCTCAAGGCCACTGTCTTGTAATTCAGAGTCTCCACAGGCAGGCCCCACTTTCTCTCTCCGCCCTCCTCTTCTACAGCTTCAGACAGGCTGATCACATGTCACTCCACATCTGGCACTCTCTCTACTATCTGCTCTTGCCATAGCCCCTGCCTAGCCTGCCCTCCCCATTGCTCTCTCTAATCAAAAGTTTTCTTCCCTTCAAGATGCACCTCTAGGCCTACCTCCTTCCCTAACTCTTTTGACCCACTTTTTTTTTAATTTTTATTTTAAGAGTTTGTTTTACATTCAATATTATGCATACATTCAGCTTCGCTACCATTTGCCATCCCTAACCCTAACCCAGCCTCCTCCCCTCCCTGCCCAGTAACCCTCCCCAAGTGCGCCTCATGGTTATACACTCCTGTATGTCCTACATTTCCTGAGAATGTTGCCCCTCTGGTGCCCCATGGTCGACTGCTCCACGGGATGCATTTCCATAGAGTATGTGGATGTGTCACACTGGTTTGAGCGGTCCGCATGTACATCTTGTTTACCATTGGGCTGAGAGTCAGTCCCTGGGAATGAGATTAATTCTACGCCCAGAATGTATCTAGGACCATAGTATTGGGGATCTCACCAGACTCCATCCAACCAGTAATTCTGGTCCTTATTGAGTTTTTGGATTTTGTTCCATGTTTTTCCTCCCACTCTATCCAGGATCTCCAGATTTGGTGCTTTCCTGAGTGGTTGGCCTTGGTAGCCCGGCACCATCTAGTTCTTCTGGTCTCGAGGGCCATTGTGTCCTAAGGCTGATTGTTTCCAAATGCCCTTGTTTTTTTACACTCTTCTTCGCTTATGATGATAGGAGACCATTAGCTGCATCTCAGATGGCTGCTTGAAAGCTTTTAAGACCCCAGTCGCTACTCACCAATGTAGGATGAGGAATAAGACTTTTATGTATTTTGTTGTGCCAATTGAGTCCGGTGTCTCCCAGTACTATGGTCCTGAGTCAGTAGATCCACTGGATCTCTCTCCCACAGTGTCTGGTGTCTGTGAGGGATTACTCTATGTCTGTCTTCTGTTGTTTCTGTAAGGACTGAGGTTATTTTGCATCACTGGTATCTGTGCAAGATTAGCCTCTGTTGAATCTATCCTTGGTCTAGAGTATACTCCTGTTCACTGACCCCGATCTGATCTTCTCAGATGTTTGTGTTTATCTGCAGCCTGGTGTTTGGTATTAATGGTAATGCAGTATTCCAACAAGTATCTGCATCTTGTTGTTGATCTCTTATTGTTACAGCATTTTGTACAAATAGTGCACAAGATATAACTTGTCTCACAGAAGTCTGTGAGAAGGTAGAAACTTAAGCTCCACCTGCATCCTGCTAGTGCGTAGAAAAGTGCTGACCACATTTAAAGAAAGGAGAGAAATAGTAACCAGACCATCTACTCATATTCAGTATGTGCCAAAGACTGCCCCTTTTCACTCACTTCTTTTGTTATCCATGAGGTGCATACTACTATCATCCTCTCCTCATCAGGGCTCAGCTCAGATGTCACATTGCAAGATATGGCCACCTTTTCTAATGCTGTTCCACTCCCTAATCACACAATCACATTACCCTGTGTTCAGTCTTTGCCGCACTTATCACCAACAGAACCGATCTGTTTATTTCTTTACTACTTTGTTTCCCCACTGAAACCTAACTCTAATAGAGCAGGAACTTGTCTATCTATTGCTCTGTCACCAAAACCTAAAACCATACATGCCACACAGCATGCATTCAAAAGACACTTGCTGAACGAGTGAATAAATGAATCTTCATTTATAGATAAAGAAACTAAAGCTGAGAGGACAAGGAACTTGTCTGAAGTCACTCAACTAGCAGGGTATAGACTGAACCCAGGTCCATTTCTCAAGTTTGTGCTTTAGGTCTTGCAACTTCTTGGGGCTCTCTGTGTTTCCTTGTTTCTTATGTGCTTTCTACTTAGCCCAACTTGCCATACCTCCACATAGGGTCAGTGGAAAGAGATGCTGAGACAATGCCTCAGGGTCTCAACTGAGGCATAAATGCCAGGAGCTGAGTACACATATATTACTTGAAACAATAATTTTGGTAGGCTAGAGGCCATTTATTACCCTCATGCTACCTTAGGGATTCAAGGGAGAAGTGGTTACTAGATAGCTAAATCAAACCAAACCAAACTCATTGCCATCGAGTCAGTTTTGACTCATAGCAACCCATCCTTGGGTTTCCAAGGTGGTATCTCTATATAAGTAGATCAGCCAATTTTCCTTCTGAGAAGTGGCTGGTGGGTTTGAACTGCCAGACTTCTGGTTGGCAGTCAAATCCCTCAGGCATAGTGCTCCCACTAGGTTCTATATAAGTGAAGTAGGAGTAATAAGAATACCTACCTTACAGAGTTGTTGTGAAAAGTGAATCAGATAATTCATGTAAGTAGACCTGACAGTGCCCTTTATCATCAATAGTAATGGTGACAATATTGTCATTATTACTCTAATAGATCATAACAATACTATAGTATTGTTCTTATAGTATTATAATAATACTATAGAATTATTGTTACAACATTGTAATACTATGGAATTATGGATAAATTCTATGCATTAAAATGCTATGGTATTATTATCATTATTGTTAATACTCTATGCTTCTGAATAAACAAACAAACTCATAGCTGTTGAGTCAATTTGACTTGTAGCAACCCCTCCTTGGGTTTCTGAGGCAGTATCTCTACGGAAGTAGATTCGCCAATCTTCCTTCCAAAGAGTGGCTGGTAGATTTGAACCACCAGCCTTCTGGTTAGCAGTCAAATGCTTTAAGCACTACGCCACCAGAACTCCTACTAGCCAAAAAAAAATAAACTTCCAGATATTGAAATGAAATCTCTGATGGACTGGGGTATCCTGCTCTCATTTGGGACCTTGCTGGCCATGAGTAATCATTCTGAAACTATGCTCCCTTCTACCCTTCTTCAGAGGCTCAGCTGGTTCATTCTCCAGGAATTCTCTCAGAATTTCCAGAATCTTGTCTCTGTGTCAAATCTGGCTTGAAGTCCAAATGTTCCACCTGTCTGTGACAACACAGGAATGCACATGCACATACCTCGATCTTTTTAAAGCCAGCGTCCACCCAGTAAAGCAACTGGCTGAGGGGTTCAAAAGCCAAAGCTTCTACTGTCTCCAGTCCAGAATTGATGATCACCTCTTGCCCCGTACTCCCATTCAAGCAGAGGCGCTGATGAGAGAAAAGGAATAATAATTCTGTGAAGCACTCAAATGACCTCCTGCCAAATCAGTCCCATGCATGATAATGCTTTATTTAACTGGCTTAACTGGCAAAGGATGAGATGTTTTATATTAGTAAATTTCCAGATAAATGAGGCAAGGTTAAAATAAAAACATTTCTAAAATGTATTATGGTTCCTGTTTTAAGCAGAATAACAAAAGAGAATTTGACCATTCCTATCACTTTTCACTACCATTATGAACACAGGTTACTAGATTATGCTGTACAACATTAATGAGTTCACAGATTATGGAGATATATGAGTCTGTTTGCATTTTAAATAAATGTAACCAGACTGCTGTTAAGTTCTTGTGCCTGCTTTTCACAGTGTTTCCTCACTTGTGAGGCTCTCAGCTGTCAGGCGCTATTGTTGGGGCATCTATATCACCACCATCCTCCCCCACCCCTCACCCTGGTACTGAGTCACACTTAAACTCTTGGGTTGAGAACCTCTTGGTATTGCTTTTACAAAAGGATTTAGCAGGCAGTGAATAAACAACAAATAGCTCTCCTTTCAAATGTATGAATTTCAATGCATGTATATCTATCTGCCTATCCAGGGATCTTTATAGCTTACTTCCTGGCTCTTGCCTGTGTTCAGAATAGATGATGGGGATAATTATGTGAACCATGGATAAGTCAAGTGTTTCTGTATCAACTTGGAAAGAAGGACACTAAAGAAGCAATTGGTTCAATGACTAATAATCCTGCATTACTAGTCCTAAAACCCATCTCAGGAGGAAAAGTGACACCTTCCTTACAAGCAAGACAGAAGACTTAGGTACAGTCTGCATCCAGACTCTAGGTTGGCTGGCTCTTGTGATATAGATACTGTGGTAGTTAAGGTTATGTGTCAACTTGGGTGGGCCTGGTTTTGAATGATTGGACAGCTGGATGTAGTGATTCTGCATGATGAGACTGGTAATCAACTCCATGGTGAAATCTACTGTGAGCAGCTGAGTAGCTGCCTTACGTATGTGGTCTGCTTCCAGTATATGAGGAGAAGCATTGAGAAAAGGCTCGGAGCTTTTTGGCATGCTTGGGCCCTGCATGTAGCTGAGTCTTCTTTCAGCAGCCTGCTGAAAGGGGAAAGAAAAACATGAAGGCAGGAAACTGAAAAGCTTCAACAGTGAGCCATGAAATGAGTCCCAATTTATAAATCTCTAGCTAACTCCTTGGCTTAGGTCATTCTGAATTTGATGGTTTTCAGGACTGGGCAGTCAGAAGGCACAGTCCTCAGACCAGACTAAGGGCTGACTCACCTGGATGATGTCCAAGGCCAGGTCAGACCAATACAAGCAGTTGTGCTCATAGTCAAAGTCCAGGGCCACGGCGGCCCGCAACCCAGTGAGAGGCAACTGCTCGGTGGCTCCTGAGGCTAAGTCATAGCGGTAGATGGACTTCCGCATGGCATATAAGATGAACTCATTCTCCTCTGTGTAGACAGACAGACAACAGGAAGGTTGGACCAAAGTGTGCTTACGGGGTCCTAGCATGTCTGATCTATTTTGTCTCACACACAAACCTCAGACCCACTGGCTCATCTCACAGATCAAGTGAAAGATCACAGGAATCAAGAGTCAGAGACCTGTAATGGAATCCCATTTACTGGGCAAGCTACTTAAATTTCTGTGAATCTCAGTATCATTTTAATCTGTATGTTTTACCTTTTACATTTTTTTATTAAGCTGCATCCCCCAGCAGCCGTGCTCTAACAGAAACTTCTAAGCTCAGCCTAAAGTCTTCAGAGTCACACTTGATAAAATAGTCACACCAATCAACATGCTCTCCCTCATCTTAGACCCTCATCATGTAGCACCATCATTCACTCTTTCTCACATTATGGCCTAGCTTGTTGACTACAGACTATTTAGTCTCTGAAGACCTGTAACTAAGCCTTCTAATCTATTTGCTTACTTATGCAATATGGTTCACAATGACATATAGCAATGATATTGACACATCAGATTTTCAATACAGTAATACTGTTTGTTCTTGACTACTTATAAAATGTGTTACAAACATAATCTTCATAAAGATCCTAGTTCTACTTAACACATACTTACATAGTGTACTTATTATGTGTCAGGAAATGTTTAATACTCATAACAAGTGTATGATGCAGAAACTATTACAGATGAGAAAAGTGAGACCAGGGAGATTAAGTAAGTCACCCAAGATCACACAGCTAGTAAGTGGCTATTTGAACCCAGGCAGTCTGCATCCAGAGTCTATGTTGGTTGGCTCTTGTGACATAGATACTGTGGTAGTTAAGGTTATGTGTCAACTTGGCTAAGCCTGGTTTTGAGTGGCTGGGCAGCTGGATGTAGTGATTCTGTATGATGATACTGGTGATCAACTCCATGGTAAAATCTAATGTGAGCATCTGAGTAGCTGCCTTAGGGATGTGGTCCACTTCCAGTATATAAGGTGAAGCACTGAGAAACGTCTGAGAGCTTTTCGGCATGCTTGGGCTCCATACATAGCTGAGTCTTCTTTCAGCAGTCTGCCATGTTGTCTGGTAATCTTGAGACTGTGCCATTTTATTTGTTTATCTTGGGTCTGTCAGCCTTAGCAGGCAGCAACTGCCTGAGCTAAGAGAAGCCCCTAGCTCCAGTGGCCCAGAAGCAAAACACAGAGCTGAAGCCCAAGGCTGAGGGGCTTTCACTCAGCCCCTAGACCTGGCACTGTGAACTCAGACTTCTAGCCTCCTAAACTGTAAGAGAATAAATCCCTATTTGTTAAAGCTACCCATTTATGATATTTTCTGTTACAGCAACACTAGATAACCAAAACACATACTAATTTTGCCATATATTAAAAATGAATAAATAGAGAGCCAGCATCTTAAAAGACTTATCTAACATCAGACAACTAGACTCTTGGATGCTGGTATGTTCCAAAATATGTTCTAAATTGACTTAGTGGTGATTTAACATGTTGAGGCATGTGCAATATAGGGATGAAATTCTGATAAGAAAAATTTGTTTCTTTTTCTCTACTGGTTTCTAGTTCTCATACATTTAGAGCATCTCTATTTCCTCTGAGCATTTTTTCCTGCTGATACCTCTCAGAGCAGGTGAGGTATTGTTTTCACTCTTCTACTTAGGGAATAGCCTGGAACACATCTAGATTCTTCAAGGGGAATGGAGAGGAACAGCACACCAGCATCCATTTCTACAACATCCATTTTGGCAAGATGTTGCATATGCAACCAGATGCAGATCTGAATCCCTACACTGCATGCCTGGATTAGGTTGGTGTTCCCCTCTCCCCTGGTTAATACATACATTCAATGAATCAACACATACTATCCATTTGCTTTACAAAGCCTTCAAAATAGATAATGAATCAAAACATAAAACCACCTGAAATTTTGAGTTAAGACTTGCTTTCTCTTCCTCTGGTCTCACTTCACTTCAAGAGGATTTAAGCTACTACCACATGATAAGCAATTGTGTCTTTTAGTTTCCAAGGAAATCTCCTTGGAAGAGGGCGGGAGAGGGTGGGCAGTCAAGGTACAGGGCACCAGGAAGCTGCTAAGCTTTTAAATGACATCAAAATCAAGGACTCTGATAGAAGTTGCTTCAGGGAATCACAGAGAGAATACATCACAAAGCAAGGCTTTCACCCCACATCTCTCTCTCCACCGATATCTACAGATCTCATTATGTTGCTTTAGTTTCTTCTTCTAACAAACTAATGCCTTTACAGTACAGCCTAAGTCTAGAAATACTCGCCTTAGGATTAGGCTTAGAGTGGAGGTCCTGGGTAGTACAATTAACATGCTCAGCTACTAAGCAAAATACTGGTGGCTCAAAACCATCCAGAGGAACCTGAAAGAAAGGCCTGGTGATCTACTTCCAAAAAGTCAGTCACTGCAAACCCGGTGGAGCCCAGTTCAACTCTGACACACAGGGGTCGCCATACACCAGAACCAACTCAATGGCACAGCATGCAAAGTGCATTCCAGAAAAGGAACAGGAGGTTTGGCCAACCCTGGCCAGAAATGAGCACAGCCTAGAAATTGGTGCTACCTCAGTAATTAAGGAAGAGAAAATAATGCATTTTAAGATTGCTTCCAAATGCCTAGATTACATCATCTTTGCAAAGATGTTATGGTTCTCATTAGTCCTACTAAGCCATTTTTTCCTTTCATGCTGCACCCCAGCCTCCTATTCCATGCTTTTTCCTTTTTTACAGTTAGGAGGTGCCCCATGCTGCAAATGAGATTTTTCCACTTCACTCTCTGTTCTATCTTCTCCTATCAGAGGAGAAAATAGCTTTCCTGACAGTTTAGAATGCCTTATACAAACTGTTTTTTCCCTAGCTCAATTATCTTCAGAAATATTTATTACAAAAGTATGCACTCCAGCCCCTGAAGAGCAATCACTCAAATCCTGCTAACCCAAGTCCTCATCAATAACAGCTCTTAGGAGGGGGATATTTGAGTATTATCTGTTCATTTGTAGGAATCTGCTGAAGCTGTGTTCTTTTTAAGTCTCTACAGTGAGGTATGTTAATTACTCTGGTAATGATGGAAGATTAAATTAAGGGACTAATGAGCGTAGCATGAAAAACAGCAGGGTAAGCTGGCAAGCAGTGAACATATGAGAGGGCTGGTCTGCCCTGCCTGTAAGAAAGACACACTGCTTTCAAGATCATTTGGTGCTTGTGGCTGTTCCTCTACTCACCACCTTCACTAATGGAAGTCAGCACCAATAGCTCACCTATTCTGAGGGGAAGAAATGCTCAGAGGAAATAGAGGCGTTCTAAAAGAATGAGAACTGGCAATGGTAGAGGAAAAGAAACAATTCTTTAGGTGTCAGAATTTCATGCCTATATTGCACATGCCTCAACATGTTACATCACCACTAAATCAACTTAAAACACATTTTGGAACATGTTGTTGTTGTTAAGTGCCGTCGAGTCATTTCCGACTCATAGCGACCCCATGCACAGCAGAACGAAACACTGCCCGATGCCGCGCCGGCCCCACAATCCCTGCTATACTTGAGCCCATCATTGCAGCCACCGTGTCAATCCATCTCGTTGAAGGCCTCCCCCTCTTTCGTTGACCCTCCACCCTACCAAGCATGACATCCTTCTCCAGGGAATGGTCCCTTCTTACAACATGACCAAAATAGGTGAGACGAAGTCTGGCCATTCTTGCTTCCAAGGAGCATTCTGGCTGCACTTCCTCCAGGACAGATCTGTTAGTTCTTTTAGCAGTCCATGGTACTTTCAGCATTCTTCGCCAGCAAACTCAAAAGCATCAACTCTTCTTCGGTCTTCCTTATTCATTGTCCAGCTCTCACATGCATACCAGGCGATTGGAAATATCATGGCTTGTGTCAGGCGCACCTTAGTCCTCAAGGAGATATCCTTGCTCCTCAGCACTTGATACAGTTCCTTCGCAGTTGACTTTCCCAATGCTACACGTCATCTAATGTCCTGACTGCTGCTTCCGTTGGCATCGATTGTAGAACCAAGCAACATGAATTCTTTGACAACCTCAATCTTCTCTCCATTTATTGTGATGCTGCTCATTGGTCCAGTTGTGAGGATTTTTGTTTTCTTTATATTAAGACGTAATTTTAGAACATAGCAGCATCCATTTCTAAAGCATCCATTTTGACAATATATTGTATATGGGACCAGGTGCAGATGTGAATACCTTTGTTGGATGCCTACATCAGTTTTGTGCCCCCTCCCTCATTCCATACATTCAATGAGTCACATACACTAAAACAAACAAACAAACAAAATCAGTTGTCATTTAATCAATTTCAAGTAGTGGTGACCTATGTGCTTCAGAGTAAAACTGTGCTCCATAGAGTTTTCACGGCTATAACCTTTCTGAAGCAGATTGCCAGGCTTTATCTGCTTTATTAAAGCTTCAGTATAGACTACCCATTAAACCATAAACCCATCTAAAACTTTTAATAAAGATAAGTTTGCCCTCTTTTCCTCTGATCTCATTTCATTCCAAAAGGCTCTAGCTACCACCACCAACTAATTGCCCCTTTTATAATATGCATTGCTCCAAAGATTTTTTTCCTCTTAAATAGCAAGCATAATGATAATCTAGAATAATGGAAATGTCACTTACTTGGCATTTGGATGATGTCCAACTAAGAGCTTGGGCTCAGAATGTGAATTTTAACTTTGTCATTTACCAAATGAGATGTGTGACCTTATTTAAGTTAACTTATTTAAGTTATCTAATCCTCTCCTCCTAACATGTTTCTTCATAGAGAACAGATATGGGAGCTGGTATAACATCTGCTTCATTGGGTTGTTAAAAGGATTAAATTGGCAAAACTTATAAAAGTACATTGAAATCTGAAAATCTGCAAAATTCCACTAAAACAGTAGTTATTATTATAAAATTAAGATAGACCACTTGGCTACTTCCTAAGAAGCCACACAGCTCTTCATAGTCTATTTTACCAAACAGATCAAGGAACACAGAGAGACCTTGAGACAGCCCCCAGTCCCTATTCCCCAACACAGAATAGAGGTTGAATGAGTATTTTTCAATGAATAAAGGGATTTTCCTCAAAAAACTGAGCTGATATAAAACATTTTCTATTCCTATAAGTCAAAAAAAAACACCCATTGCCATCAAGTTGATTACGACTCACAGCAACCCCACTGGGTTTCCGAGGCAGTAAATCTTTACAGAAGTAGATTGCCCAGTCTTGCTTCCACAGAATGGCTGGTGGATTTGAACCACCAACCTTCTGGTTAGCAGTCAGATGCCTTAGGCAGTATGCTACTAGAGTTCCTTATACCTAAAAAGGTTTGAGGTTATATATAAATTTGGTCTGAATACCAAGCTTTGGGGGTAAAGGGAACTCTGTGATGCTTGTAACTTTCTTTTTATTATTTTTCCATTTAGTTAGATGAGCCACCAGCCTGGACTTGGGGTGAAATCGTGCTAATACTTCAATGACATCTGAAGAAGTCAAAGGGGAGAAATGGCCTCACATACCTGCTAGGGGACAGGGGACCAGCTCTCCTTCCAGTCGGGCTTCAACATCTCCACCACTACAAGTATCCCCAGATATCTTCCGGTAACTGTCACCCCCCACCCCCCAAAAAAACAAGAGGTTAGAAAAAGCAAAGAACAGTCATTCTGGAAGTTTTCCCAATTGGGAACATATTTCCTATCCATGGATAATAGATTCTATCCATGGGTAACAGCTTCCATCTATTCATTTCCGTATAAAGCTAGTAGTAGTTTAGTCATTCTCAGTCAGTTCCACTCATGTCAGATTAGGCAGATGCAGGCAATTTGGGGCACTGTCCTAGGCAAGATTTTTAACTATATCCCTTCAACAAAATCCTCTGAAGATGTGGCCTTACTAAAGTTTATGACTTCAGATACTCCTAGAGTTTAAAAGGAGCTTATAGATTTGTATTTTTTTCTTCCTCATTAGGGGTAGAAGTTTCAAACATCAGAATTTAAAATGTTGCCCAAGGTACTTGAAACCTGCTGACTTAGAATTCCAGAATTTAGAGTAGGAAGGCAACCCAGGCGGTCCACTGTGCTCTCACACTGAAGGTCATTTGGTATCCCCTTTAATACCTCTAGTGGCAAGCATTAAAGACTGCCCATTGTACTGTTGTTAAAAACATGCTTCTTGTTGTTGTTATGTGCCGTCAAGTCAGACTTGACTCATAGCGACCCCTTGTTGGGTTTCCGAGGCAGTATCACTTCAGAAGTAGATTGCCCAACCTTCCTTTCGAGGAGTGGCTGGTGGGAAAAATATATTTAGGAACAAATTTTGTCTTCTAGAACAACACATAACAACTTAGCTACACCTGGAGTAAAAGGAAAAAGAAAGTTTTAAAACCTAGTGTTAAGGTCTCAGGATGCCTTCAACTCTACCAGAGAAAACAAACTGGCAGCAATAGGCTACTCTGAGATGCTGCAATGTCAACCAGGAGGCCACACCAAGCACATCTAGAATAGATGTCCCCAGATGTAATGTGTGTGGAGTAGCCTCCTCCCAGTACCGTATCACACAAGGACTCCCTTCCTAAAGATACAGTGGCACAGGAAAAAGAGGTAGAAAAGGTTAGAACAGACATAAAATAGTTCCTTCCCTTTTATAACTAAGAATGTGTTGTTGAGTACAAGAGGCATATACAAGATGGGAAATAAGAAGAAATTGAGACTGATCCCCTGAAACTATGAAAAATCAAGCTTATTCATACGGCAGCATCACATAATCTAAGATAGCTGCAAATTTACTAAGTAACCTGAAATTGATAGCTTATCAATGAACAGCACAGAAGTACAAGTAGAACTTGACTCTGACTTTCCAGGATACTGGAAAAAGTCCTAAGCAACAAAATCCAGATGTAGACTCCCTTCACGATTACAGAGAGGTTCTGGACAAGCAATGTAACCTCAGTGGACTACAGTGTCAAGAGGGGCGGTCCTGCCTCACCTGCCCTCCCTCCCTTCCCACACTAAGGGTCTTTTAAAGAAGTAAAAGGACAGTGAAATTAAAGGGGTTATTAATAATGGTATTGTAATTAATAATAACAATGCTACTACACCTGCTATAATGGGGTTCACAAGCTGAAAGAGGACACATTTTATAGGCAAGTTTAGAGATGATTATATCTAGGACATTAGGAAAACAAAGACTAACACTGAATAATCTAAAGAATTATGAGGCAAAAACAGTAAGACTAGGGAACTTTTGTGATACACACCCTCTTGTTCTCCTATAAGTAGAACCCACAGGACAAGGTACGGGAGGGTAGTATGACTTCCCAGAAAACTCAGGATCTGGAACACAAACCTCTAATGACAAGTCTTCACTCATCTTGAAGCCAAAGTCACTGAAAAAGGCAATTGAAGTTTGTTAAGGCATTGTCTTGCATACTTCAGACATTTCAGTATCTGAACCCTTGGACTTTTACTATGTTGTGTTGTTGTTATTTGCTGTTGAGTCAGACCCGACTCATAGCAACCCCTCCTTGGGTTTTCGAGGCAGTATCATATCACTACGGAAGTAGATTGCCCAACCTTCCCTCCGAGGAGTGGCTGGTGGGTTTGAACCGCCAGCTTTCTGGCTAGTAGTCAAGCGCCTTAGGCACTATGCCACCAGAGCTCCTAACTGCATACTATATGCATTTTAAGTTACTTAATATGTCCCTGTAACGTATACTCACTTTTTACACTAAAATAAATACATTTTCAAAGGGAACTTTGTAACAGCCACACTGGAAAACCCCTATCCTATGCCTTAAATGGCCAGCAAGGTCAAGGGAGACCCTCAGTGAGATGGATTGGCTCAACAGCTGCAATGATGGACTCAAATATGCCAGTGATCATGAAGATGACACAGGACTGGGCAACATTTCTTTCTGTTGTACACAGATCTCCATGTGTCAGAGATGACAGGTCAAAAGCTATCTAGTTACCTACTTACGCCACAAAAAATGATAAATCATTATACCAAAAACCTTAAGGTTTAACTAGACCCAGTTTCCTATCCAAAGACTCTGAGCCTCCTCTCTCTGTAAAAAGGGATCAGCAAATGATGGAGTTAATGAATGGCAAAGAGTGCTGTTACACAGTGAGGACTGCAATGAATGTCACAAAATAAAATGTGTATGAATTGTTGAATGGAAAGCCAACTTGCTCTGTAAACTTTCACTCAAATCACACACACAAGAGAATTAATGGTACCCAATGAGACTTTCTCCTTGATAAAATCCAAAGAATTAAAAGAGAAATTAGAGAAAATAACCTTATTTTCTTCCTTTTTACTAAGGATTCAATGCTATATAATACCATGGCCATATACTGCCTAAAATTAATGTTGGTGCCTGCACTTTGGGACATACTAGTTCGATCCACGAGACCTTCTGCAAACTGAGGGCCATGCATTGCTGAACCTCACAGTTCAGCAAGCGTGCACTGCAATAGGAAGCAGAAGACCTCAGTCTAGTCCTAGCTCTGCCCTTAAATGCATGACTTCTCTAGGCCACACTTGAGAACTCTAAAACAAGGCCACTGTATTATATGCTTCCCAAGATCCTATCCACGCCATGAATTCTACCATTTAAAGGGACTTTCTTCATTGATGTGCTCCATCAGAAAGGCTTCATTTACTCTATTTCAGTCAATTCAATGAATATTAAACACTACATGAAAAGTAAAAGGGCTCTGGTGGCACACTGGATAAAGCATTGGGCTGTGAACTGAAGAGGTGGTCGCTTTGAATCCCCCAGTTAGTCTGCAGAAGAAAGATAAGGCAATCTGCTTCCATAAAGATTTACAGCCTTGGAAACCCTATGAGGCAGTTTTACCCTATCCTATAGGGTTACTATGAGTTGGAATTGACTTCATGGCAGTGTTATTTTTATTTTCATTTTTTTTTTAATATGAAAAGCATTAACAGATACAAGGTAAAGTATCTTATATATATTATCTCATAATCCACACTTAGCAATTTTTAGAGAGTTATAGAATAAGAAGCAATTTTATTCTTGACACAAACAGGTCTCATTCATTAAATCAGTTCATTTTTATTGCATGTCTGCTTTAAATCTGTTTTGAGAGAATAAGTGGAGCATTATCTAATTAATTACGTATTTGCCTCCATTAACAAAGCACCATTCTTAGGCGTATTTCTTTATATGTAGGTCATGACTTAGTGGACTGTAAAAGTAATTTGGAGAGTCAAGACTAGATCCTCCCATCACCCTTCCAAAAAACAGAAAATGGCAAAATGTATCACACTTAAGAATAAATGTTGTTTCACAGTACTGTCGTTTCAACTGTGTGTGTGTGTGTTTATGTGTGTGGTTTAGGTACAGGGTCATGATATAAAATGTAATGCTTCCTAGAAGTTTCAGTCAACTGTTTGAAGCTACACTTCTGAGCAACGTGGGGAAATACAAAGATGTAAAATAAACTCCTGAAATCAGAAAATATATGGTAATACATATGGTTAATGCACTCAGCTGCTAACCAAACGACTGAAGTTATGAGTCCACTCAGAGGTAAAAGAAACACCTGCTGATTTACTTCTGAAAAATCAACCATGGAAAATCCTATGGAGCACAGTTCTACTCTGACACACATGGTGTTACCATGAGTCGGAATCAACTCCACAACAAATGATTATGTGCTAATAGCTGGGCTTTCCAGTGTTTTCTGAGAGGACTGTCAGAGTACCCTTACTTTGAAATGTAGTTATCATTCAGGAGCTGAACTTAAGGATAGATAGGACACATCCACTTGTTCCCTTTCTCTCTCCTGCTATCCATCTTTAGACCACTTCCCTTCTCACTGCCATAGTCTAATCCCAGCAAACACTTCCAAGAGCCAAGCAGTGAGGCTGGCTCCTTTCCAGCAGCTGCACCAAGAAGAGAAACAGTAACAGGATGGTCTAAAATCAGTACAGCCCTTTGCCATCTTCCAAGTGCCATCATCTCACCTGACCTGTAGCCCAATGCCATAAAAGGCAGGGCAGGTAGTTTTCCTACTCTACAATAAACAAGACTTGGCGACACACAGCAGAGACAAGCACCCAGTAGGTTTCAGGAAGACAGATGGGATGGGGCATGATAGATCAAGTAGGACTCAGGCCACAAAAGAGATTTTAATGTTTGTTATCTTATTTATTTATTTAAAGAAAAAAGGAAAGGCATAATAGTGGTCATCAAGAAAAAAACCCAAAACTTTGTTGCATTTCCTTACATTTTTAAAATTTATGTTTATTTTCATTTTGAAGTATTATTAGGGATGGAAAGAGCTGGGAGAGAGAGGGTACCATAATTTTTTTGGTGATTAAGGTCCCTGTGGGAGCTCTGGTGGTGTAGTGCCTAAGGCATTTGACTGCTAACCAGAAGGCTGGCTGTTCAAACCTACTAGCCGCTCCTCAGAAGGAAGGTTGGGCAATCTACTTCTGTAGAGATGCCGCCTCGGAAACCCAAGAAGGGGTCACTATGAGTTGGGTCCGACTTGATGGCACGTAACAACAACAATAACATCTCCTCATTTTAGATAAAGAAATAAATCCCCTGTAGAGTAAGACTCCCTAGGAAAAGGAGTTACGTGCAACAGAACCTTCAGTGTGTTCCCATTTTGGGTTATTCTCATAGAAATAAACTGCAGTGTTAGCTATTCCTGAATGAATTACTGTGTCTTGATTTTAACTCCTATACCATATTACCTGGCTAAGAACTAAATAGGAGACCCTATGTAAAAAGTGCCTCACTCAGTTCCTTAATAAATATTTATTTCCTTCTATTCCCTTCACTCCCTTGGGGAAGGAATTATGCCCTAATCCATTTTCCCAACAGTGCAGAATGAATAAAGCCCAAGCCTTTGAAGAAGAACTAACCATTCATAGTCCTCCCGGGTACAGGAGCAGTTGGACACTATCACTGGCCTGTCAAAGTCTTCTCCATTAAAGCATGTTGCATGGGGGGTCCTCCTTTTGAAAACGGTCTTGTGTCCTAGCAGGCACTCATTCCCCCGCTCATCAGACGGGGACCACAGCTTGTAGTCGTTCTCAGTGCAGGGAACCCCTGAGGAAAAAGGAAGATACAAAGAAGCCTTAGAGGCAGGTTCCTGTGAGGTTTCCCATCCTACCCACCTCTCAGCCCAGTCCCCATTCCTGCTGCTGCCCAGAAAGGGCACAGACCTAATTTAGGGAGAAGGCACTCTGGAGCCACTGTAAGCCTTTCTGATGAGCTTGTATTGTGGCTAGAGGTACCCACGCATATGAAAATGATAGTGTCTGAAGCACAGCAGTTCATCTGAAAGAATTAAGAAGTAAGCCACCTTTCAGCACTGTCAAAACGTCTTAGATATTTTAGGAGATTCAGTAGTTCCTTTCAAACATAGGTACCCAGAGGTGTTTATGTCCTAAAGAATTAGGGAAAAGTTGACTCCTTGATAGATCGGTAGCATTCCAGAGTGGTGTTCCCTGCCTGCTTCCTTGGGCAGTATGGACACACGTGGTAGTAAGGCACCACGAGACAACAGAGAATTCACTCTTCACGACTGGGAAAGTGCAAAATGTTCATGGAAAGAGGCTGAGGAACAGTCAGATAATCTGGAACGATCACTCCGCCGACCAACATTCATTTGAAGTTTACACAGACTGGTTTCCACAGGAATTCCGAAGTGTTTTCTCTGTCTATATTAATACTTTATGTCTTGTGTGTGTGTGTGTGTGTGTGTGTGTCTCCAGTCAGATTAAAAGGAGATCTGGTGGTGTAGTGGTTAAGGCATTTGGCTGCTAAGCAAAAGGGATGTGGTTCGAACACACCAGCCACTCCATGGAAGAAAGATGAGGCAGTTTGCTTCCATAAAGATTTACAGCCTTAGAAACCCAACAGGGGTCACTATGAGTCAGAATCAACTCAATGGCAGTGAGTGTGGTTTGCAATTTAGACAGATAAAATACTACCTGAGCTCATGAACAACTGTCAGTTCAATTCCATTTGAATAAGCAGATACTTATCAAATTCTTACCAACTGCAAGAGTTTCTAGATGTCCAAACCAAAAAACCAAACTCACTGCCATCGAGTTGGATCCGACTCATAGTGACCCCTCCTTGGGTTTCCGAGGTGGTATCACTACAGAAGTAGATTGCCCAACCTTCCTTCCGAGGAGTGGCTGGTGGGTTTGAGCTGCCAGCCTTCTGGTTAGCAGTCAAATGCCTTAGGCACTATGCCACCAAAGTATCCACAGGACAGGTTCTTGTTTTTAAGGATCCTACAATCTAGTGAGGGAGCTCTGGTAGCATAGTGCCTAAGGCACTTGACTGCTAACCAGAAGGCTGGTGGTTCAAACCCACCAGCCACGCCTCGGAAGGAAGGTTGGGCAATCCTACTTCCGTAGTGATACTGCCTCGGAAACCCAAGGAGGGGTCGCTATGAGTCGGGGCCGACTCGACGGCAAATAACAACAACAATCTAGTTGACGGGAGATGGTACATACACATACACACACACATGCATGTACACAGACATTTATTACTCAAGGCAGGGCATGCTGAGTATATATGTGCTAGGCATAGAAAAGAGGGAAATGTCTTCTGGTTGGGCTATGATTGTCCAATGCAGCATCTGCACTGGACACTGAAAGAGGAAGAAGATTTCAGCAAGTGGTGACTGAATGGGTTGGGGAGAAGAGGGCACAGGGAGACTTCCAGGCAGCTGAAATCAAGTCACCCCAGGCAGAGATGTAAGAAAAGGCAAGGTAACATTGGGTGGGGGGAGTGCTGAGTAGTTTCACTTCTCCCTGCTTATTACATGTCTTATGTCTAGTTATTTGGTGACTAGATCCCAGATGGCTTTGAGAGGGCCTGCATCATGAGGCACACTGCCTTACCCATAGCAGATGCTCACTGAACTAGTCAACTTGGAACTGCTAATTTGGAAGAATGTTTTTCATTCATTTATTCACATATTCAACAGATAAATATTTAAATATACCTGCACAAGGAAATGTAGGTGCAAAGAACACCACACAGTCTTAGTAAGAAGAATCACTTAAGCAAGTCTTCATTAACCTGCCTAGGTTTCTTGCTAACTTACTATACATGTCCAGGTCCCCCAGTGCATCAAACTCTTCTGCATGCATAGTACCTAGGCTGGTACTTTGCACATTACAGGAAGTCAATAATGTTTACATGAAAGAGCCAAAGAAGAGGCAATAGCTTACCCAAGGCATCAGTAGCATTGACCTGGAGAATCAGCCAGCTGTGGACATTCTCTTTGTTTGAGCCAAAGATGGTGAAGACAGTGCTCTTCTCCCCAGGCTCCGTGAGGAGGCCATAGACAAACACTGGCCTCTCAGAGAAAAGGAACGTTTTCCAGGTCTCTCCTTCATTGGTACTATATCTGCCCAAATGCAAATAAGAGAATCCTTGAGTTAAAGTTCCCAGGTAACATCCACCAGTAACAGAAACCAGGGCTTCTTGGAGAAATAGCTAATCCTGGGCTAAAGCAGGGAAAAACTACAGGTTGTATCAGAAAGCAAGGAAGTATTCAGAGACCAATGGAGTCATCTCAAAAGGAAACAAGAGCCAGTTTGATGGGGTTCCAACTGGCCAAATTTAGGGACCAAAACCAAAAACCAAACTCATTGCCGCTGAGTCGGATCCAACTCAAAGCGACTCCTCCTTGGGTTTCTGAGGCAGTATCACTATGGAAGCAGATTGCCCAACCTTCCTTCCAAGGAGTGGCTGGTGGGTTTGAACTGCCAGCCTTCTGGTTAGCAGTCAAATGGCTTAGGCACTACACCACTAGAGCTCCCAAATTTAGGGACATACAAATATTAAAAAAAAAAAAAAAAAAGTGATGGTGACATATTATATACAGAATAAAAACAGGATACGGGTCTTGAATGATGCTAACAGAGAAAGAAGTGGGGAAGGGAAAATTTTTTATTAAAATGTTACCTAATTAATATTGAAAAAATGACAGAATAAAAAAAAATCACTCATTAGTAATCCACACTGTAATAACTAAATCAGACAAGGGTCCTCATCAGATGCTAAAACATGTTGGGGACCAGGATGTTCATGTGGTATAAAGCTTATCAATACACAAACTAATTATTCACTGCAAAGGGGAAATTTAATTTTGTAGAAGAAAGATACAGGAGTGACATCCTCAACCGAATTTAGCATCACCAATAGTTGAGACAACCTGACATTATTTGCCTCCTGGACAAACCACTAATAATAATACATGCAATATTCTATACAGCTGGGCAAAACCAAGAATGTGGCACATCCTGTATGACAACTGCCTGGACTCTTATTTTAAAAAAAAAAAGTCAAGGCCCTGAAAACCAACCAATCAAATAAAAGAAGCTTATTATAGATTAAAAGAGACTAGAGATTAGCAAACAAATGCAACAAGCAAACTTTGACTGGATCCTGGATGGGGGGGTGGACAACAAAAACCAAACTCACTGCCGTCAAGTCAATTCAACTCATAGCAACCCCTCCTTGGGTTTCTGAGGCAGTTATCTCTACGGAAGCAGATTGCCCAATCTTCCTTCCATAGAGTGGCTGGTGGGTTTGAATGACCAGCCTTATGGTTAGCAGTCAAATGCCTTCGGCACTATGCCACCAGAGCTCCCATTTACAATGATAAGGGCCAGGAATTCAATATATATTTTGAGGGGACACAGTTCAATCCAAAACAACAATTAAGAAAAATTACACTGCCAAAAAAACTAAGAATTAACATTGATTGTAAGCTACCACTCAGTTTTAGAAATGTTAAAATGTGGGGGAAATGTGTGTCTTAGAATCAATGAAAAGTGTCCGGAAGAAGGAAGGTGATAATCCTCTGTCTGGCCAGACCCCATCTGGACCAAGTATGTGAGGCTGAGAGTTTGTTTCTCTCACCCTCTCTATTCCTTTCCTCATTTCACACTAGTGGGAAGAGGATTTTTGGTTTGTTGGTTTAATTTGTTACTGTGATTTGGGTCAAAGTTTACAGAGCAAATTCACTTTCCATACAGCAGTTCATACACATTTTGTTTCCTGACATTGACTGCAATCCCCACAATGTAACAGCTCTCTTCCCACTGCCTCCCAGTTACCTCTTCCCTGTGTCCTTTCCTATGCATTCATACTTCCTGAGCTATTTCCCTGTGCAAATACTGCCCTTCTGATCTCCCATGATCGATTGTTCTAAGGAGTGTATCTAGCTGGTACAAATGTTCACCCTGTATGCCTGGCTGGAAGTCACGGGAGTGAGTTCAATTCTAGGCCTGAAGGGTAACTAGAGGCCGTAAAAGGATATTTGTGTGTGTGTGTGTGTGTGTCTGTGTGTGTCTGTGTCTGTGTGTGAGAGACAGAGAGAGATTTGGGTCAAAGTTTACAGAGCAAATTCACTTTCCATACAGCACTTCACATATACTTTGTCTCATGACATTGACTATTATTTCCCACAATGCAACAGCTCCCCTCCCAATTCTTCCCCATAGTTACCTCTTCCCTGTGTCCTTCCCTCCATGTACTCTTGCCCTCTGAGCTATGTCCCTGTGCATACACAGCCCTTTATTCTCCCTTGATTGTTCTCTCCAAGGAGTGTATCCACCTAGTGTAAATGTTCACCTCATATGCCTGTCTTTTGTTTGTCTGGAAGCCACAGAAGTGGGTTTAATTCCAGACCTGAAGGGCAGCTAGGGGCCATAGTGTCAGTGATTCCATCAGGATCTATCATGATGAGCTCAGATTTTTAAAGATCACATTAACGGTAAAAGAGTCATATATTCAAAGGCAAATAAAAACTGAAAGAACAGCAGTAATCTGTACAAACAAAAAAGTAGTGTCTAGGCAACTAAATTCAAAATAAGCCAAGGATTATACTTCAAATTAACAAAATAATTGGTACAATGGTGAGTTGGTGAGATGGTGGGTTGATTAGGTACTAAGTTCTGTAATTAGAATGGAAAAGGATCATTGTTCTGATGACCAATGGTATAAATAGTAATAGATGATAAGAGAAAAGGCAGAACTACTCAATTTCCATTTTGCTTTTATCTTTAGCAATGTGAATGACATTCAAACTGGACAAGGCAGAAAACACAGATAAGATAAAGGAAAATGAGTACAAAATAAAGTACATTCTAGGGAACTGAAAGATTTAAATGATTGCAAAGTCCCTCATCTCTAACAGAATCATAGCAGACAGAGAAAGATTTAGAAGATATGAAAAGGAAAAATAGTTTTATATGCCTAAATGAAAAAGGTCGAATTTAAGAATGGATTATTAAACAGCTGATTTGACAGCACTTACAAAAGAAGAAGTCAAGGCTGGGAGCCAATGTGGTTTCACATACAAGTCATGTTGTTTCTTTTTTTTTTTTCCTTTTTTAAATCATCCCCAACCCTAACCCAATCTCCTCTCCTCCCTGCTCAGTAACCCACCCCCACCACCATGCCTCATAGTTATGCACTCCTGTGTGTCCTGCATTTCCTCTGTGAGAATGGTGGTCCTGCCCTGTGGTAATTGCTCCCAGGGATGCATTTCCACAGAGTATGTGGGTGCGCCCCCTTGGCTTGAGTGGTCTGCATGTACATCTTGTTTACTATTGGGCTGAGAGCCAGCCCCTGGGAGTGAGTTTTATTCCAGGCCCAGAATGTATCCCAGGACCCAGGTTTTGGGGGGGGGGGGGCTCTCACCAGACTCCATTCAACCAATAATTCTGGTCATTATTGAGTTTTTGGATTTTGTTCCACGTTTTTCCTCCCACTCTATCCAGGATCTCCAGATTTGATCCTTTCCTGAGTGGATGGCATTGGTAGCCGGGCACCATCTAGTTCTTCTGGTCTCGAGTCATGTTGTTTCTTGATTTAAAGAAGAGGCAATGATACAGAATACTTTTTTTTTTTTTTTCATGAAAATCTTTTTGGACAATGCAGTTTGTTAAGATTTATTGTTGGTGAAACAAACAAATCCCAAGTATGCTAATAACATGGTTTGGTCTCAACCCAAAATAAGACCTTTACTACTCTTAGAGCTCAGCACATTTGTCATTAGTCTGGATAAATTTATGGATGTTACATCTATCAAACTGGCAAAAGGTAAAAGGCTAATTGTACAGGCAATACCATAAATGTCAAAATAGGATTAAAAATGTTTTTATTAGGAAAAAAAACAAGAATAAATAATTCCCACACATAATTTCAAAATACTATCTGCTCAAATATAGAATGGGAGCATTTAGTTTTTGATAAGTAATTAATTAAATAATTAAATGGAATTAGCCTACTGATACATGTTATAGAATGCATAAATTTCAAAATTATTATGCTAAGCAAAAGAAGCCAAATATGCAAAATACAAACTGTATGATTCCACATATATGAAATTCTTAAAAAGGTGATAAAATCAGGCTAGGGTACCCCTAGTTAGAGCAGTGGAGGGTGGGACAGTATTAATTGGAAAGGAGCATAAGGGTAGTTTCTGGGATGATGAAAAGGGTCTACATCTTGACATGCATCCTTCAGAACTGATTAAATGGTATATTTAAGATCTGAGCATTTCATGACATGTAACTGATATATCAGAAGCCCTAATGGGGCAGTGGTTAAAGCAATCATCTGCTAACCAAAAGGTCAGTGGTTCAAACCCACCAACCACTCTGTGGTAGAAAGATGTGGCAATCTGCTTCTGTAAAGATTTACAATTTCAGAAACTCTATGGAGCAGTTAACGTAGTGCCTAAGGCATCTGACTGCTAAACAGAAGGCTGGCAGTTCAAACCCACCAGCCACTCCATGGAACACTGGACAATCTATTTCTGTAAATATTTACCACCTTGGAAACCCAAAGGGGTCACTATGTGTCAGAATCAACTCGATGGCAGTGAGTTTGGTGGGTTTTTTTCCCCCTTATGGAGTAGTTCTACTCTTTCCTATTGAGATCACTATGACTTGGAATTGACAGCGGTGGGTTTAAATGATACATCAACTTTTAAAAACACAGATTTAGTAAGAGCCACTAGTTTGAGGTGGCTGCCAAAAATATAAACACAACCTTAGAGTTTTTTAATAGTAATAGAGTGTCCAGACTCATGTGAGTATTATTCCCAGGGTCCTGTATCTTTCAGGCCACTGTAGTCACATCCCACATTTTAAGCACTGACATTGTGAGGCATACCTAAAGCAGAACCTAGATGATGGAGATTCAGGAACCTTGGGAACATGATGAAAGAAAATGGGGATATTTACCATGGAACAGAAAAATGCTTAGAAGGACATGGAAACAGTACTCAAATATCTAAAAAGCTTTCATGTGAAAGAGGAAATATCTGTTCTGTGTGTTTCCATGAATAGAAGCTAGAGTGAGGAGAATTTGGTTCTCTTACCTAAAAAC